AAGTCATGTTTCGACTAAGGACCAGGCAGCAGATTGTCTGACTAAAGGACTTAGCTCAGTAGATATGATTAGAGGATGTGACAAGATGGGCTTGGTAGATATCTTTCGCCCATCTTGAGGAGGAGTGTTGACATATTAGTATTAGTTAGAGACTTATTTGTAAGTTGTGTAGGGGCCTATATAAAGCTCAAGAGATCTCATAATGAATTAATGTTTCTTCATATATTTCTACTTTTAGATTTCATTTAGGATATTTATGGTAAGTAAATGCACTGTGCATTATATCACTCTGATATTTACTATAATATATTTGATAATTCTTCCATATCTATCATTCAATGTGGAATTTATTCATCTGATATACCTCTTATGTTTGAACTTAGAAATTAGGATTCTATCAATATTTTAGCAAGTACTAGGCGGTTTTAGGTGCCAGACCTAGTGCCTAGCACCCAGGCGCCTAGGCAAGCACCTAAGCGACATGTAGGCCTTCTTTGAGCACTGAAATGAAGGTTTCTTTTTAAAAAATTCAGGTTCTATCTATTAGAATATCACAATATTCTAGCCGAAATATTCTCCCAGTAGCCGAAATATTCTCCCAGCCGATTGCATGAACAATTCCGTCCAATGTGCGTAGTGCACGTTTTCGGTGTCCAAGGTGAGTTTGATGTGGTTGTTAATGTTTGAGACGGCAAAAGCCGGGTGAAAAACAGGGTGCTTCGAGCCTGAGGAGCTCGAGTCAAGGGAATTAGTCACGCTGCATGTGGTTATTTAAGCATAAATTCAAATCTAATGGCGAATTAGAGCGATACAAAGCTCGTCTTGTTGTTAATGGCAGGTCTCAACAGGTTGGAATTGACTGTACTGAAACTTTTAGTCCCGTTGTCAAACCCGCCACTATTCGCACTGTGCTAAGTCTTGCTTTATCCAGAGATTGGTCTATCTATCAATTAGACGTAAAAAATGCCTTCCTCAACGGTCATCTCAATGAAACCGTCTACATGCACCAACCACCCGGTTTTCGTGATAAATCTCGGCCTGACCATGTATGCCTCTTAAAAAAATCACTCTACGGGTTAAAACAAGCCCCTCGCGCTTGGTACCAACGGTTTGCTTCTTTTGTCACCACTATTGGCTTCATACACAGTCGCACTGATGCTTCCTTGTTCATATATACAAACGGCAAAGACATGGCCTATCTTCTCCTTTACGTCGATGACATTGTCCTTGCCTCTTCTACTGAAGCCGTTCGACAGTTCATTATTAGCAAGCTGCAAAGCGAATTTTCAATGACGGATTTGGGTCCCCTTCATTATTTCTTGGGTATTGCAGTACACCGCCACTCCACAGGACTGTTTCTTTCACAAAAGAAGTATGCACAAGAAATTGTTCAACGCGCCAATCTCTCCTCCTGTAAAGCTTCACACACCCCTGTGGATACAAAGAGCAAACTAAGCGCGAATTCTGGACCACCTGTTGCCGACCCACTCTTATACCGAAGTCTTGCCGGCGCTCTACAATATCTCACTTTTACCCGCCCAGACATCTCCTATGCCGTCCAACAGATATGTCTTCATATGCATGACCCTCGTGAAGAACATTTTAGTGCTTTGAAACGTATTATTCGCTATGTTAAGGGCACCGCCGAAATGGGTCTTACCCTCTGCAAATCCACATGTTCAAAGCTCACGGCGTACACAGACGCCGACTGGGGTGGGTGCCCCGACACCCGTCGGTCCACATCAGGGTACTGCATTTTCCTTGGCGACACGCTCGTCTCTTGGTCCTCTAAACGACAACCCACAATCTCACGATCCAGTGCTGAAGCTGAATACAGGGGTGTCGCTAACGCCGTAGCTGAAAGTTGCTGGATTCGAAACCTCCTTCTCGAGCTACATAATCCGCTGCAAAAGGCCACAATTGTTTACTGTGATAATATTAGTGCTATCTATTTGTCCGGAAATCCAGTCAACCATCAACGCACAAAACATATAGAAATGGATATTCATTTTGTTCGGGAAAAGGTTGCTAAAGGTCAAGTTCATGTCCTACACGTCCCCTCTCGTTATCAATATGCAGATATTTTTACCAAGGGACTCCCACGAGTATTATTCGACGAATTCAGATCCAGCCTGAGCGTACGTCCGCCTCCCGCTCCGTCTGAGGGGGTGTATTAGAATATCACAATATTCTAGCCGAAATATTCTCCCAGTAGCCGAAATATTCTCCCAGCCGATTGCCTTCCATTTTATAATTATCTATAGTTGTTAAGTTGTTATTAGCATATTCTATTATAGTCAAGTTAAGATTTGTATACCTTAATCTCCTCCTAGAATCTTGCAAAGGAGGCAATATAATTTGTATATATTAGGCTGCACACATCAATGAGAACGCAAGGAGATTACACTATTTTATCTAAGATGAACTTGGATCAAGTTCTTATATTATACGTTTTCACCTGACTTGTATGTTATGCTTAAGCAAGTAATAAATTGTTTTCTGACGTGGTGAGTCAACATAAGTGGGCCACGTTTGTCTAGACGCTCTCAAGAAGTGGGGGACCTAGGTATGCTTAGACCTAGGCGGGCGCCAGACCTCTTTTTAAAATAATGAACAATATATATGTTGATCTTTCACACCAACAAGTTCTCAAAACTTTACCAATCAAATCAAAGCTTTTAACAACTGTAGTCAGTAACTTCTCATAGCTAATTTTCATGGGAAATTCTCACAGCTACTCCTTACAAATAACAACTTTTAAGTTTTCAATGCTATCAAATAAAGTCTATCCTATATCATTGTAGCATGCCCTCTGAAAAGCTTATAATTGACGCTTTGTGTAAAGCAGAAGTCCTTCACGACAACGCAAGACAGAAAAGGTTGGAGACTTATTGAAACCTGAAGGTACGATTGTTTGAAGTTGACATGCACGAAAGAAGCTGACAGAGGCAGGGAGGCACTGAAAGGCGAGGAGTTGTTAGGGGGGAAGAAACTTAGGTTTTTCGTAGTCGAATCTTTAGCATATCACTATCGCGATCTGGGAGAAGGAGAGGAAAAGACAGCGAGAAATAAGGCTTAATTCTACTTAAATACCCTATAGTTTTCCATACTTCGCACTTATATACCCTTAATTATTTTTGTCAATATTTATATACCTAAAGTTTTTAAAATTTGCACTTGAAACTCTCAGCTATGCAAAAACGAGAGCTCCCCGCCTCCACGCCCTCCTCCTCAAAAAAAAAAAAAGCCTCATTCGATGCTGATATGTTAATTTTAAAATATCTTAACTCTTATTATTTTGTTAAATTTATTGTTAAACCTACTAAAATCCTATTTTAGAATAAAATTAGATACATTTAAAAAGGAATTATAGTAATTTTAACAAAAAAATTAACAAAAATTAAGGGTAAGATGTTCTAAAATTAGCATGTGAGTGTGGCGTGAGAATTTTAGAAGGGATATTCTTACCTTTGCATAACGGAGAGTATTTTTAGGTGCAAAGTTTAAAAACTTTAGGGTATATAAGTATTGCTAAGAACAACTAAAGGTATTTAAGTGCAAAGTGTGGGAAGTTATAGGGTATCTAAGTGTAATTAAGCCGGAAAATAATTGAGAAATATGGGTTTTAGTAGGCGAGTCTAGGTTTGAGTCGGTTTAGTGTGGGTATTCGTTAAAATTTTATGGGGGCACCTCTTAATATTCTAACAAATTTCAAAAAACAAAAATAAAAAAATAAAATTGTAACATGTGTGGGTGCCCGTGCCCCTAGTGCCCCCACCTTGGATCTATCCTTGCTGGCATTTTACAGTCATTTCAATGATTTCATAGAGTTAAAGATTTTAAACAACTTGCGTGCTTTGACCTATGTTTTGAGTTTACACAATAGGTAATTTCAATTCTTGTGGTCATAGAGTCAGAAGTTTAAATGATTCTAATGTACTGGATATCACAGTTTCCTTTGGGATATCAAGAATGAAACTATGAACCAATTACTTTCTTCTTAAATAATGTACATTTATGCTGTATGGGTGAGTAGACTTCAGCCGGAATAGAGAATAAATCTGGCTAACTATTGACAGACAGATGCCACTCTACTTTTGGAAGAGACTGTAGAGTTATATTTTGACGCAGAAGGTACAATTAGCCTAACTTTTGGTGGAATATGATCTCCCATCTTGTTCTCTTTCCAAACATTGATAACTCCTACATCTTTACTCTTCTAGTGTGTTTAAGGCTCTATGTTATTTCATTCATAGGGATAGTTCTATGCAATCTGAGAAAATTTTCCAGACTTCTTTTTGACATTGCTTGAAAATTATAATTCTCGGTATTTCAGATATGTGCTTAAGATTAAAATAAAATTTATTAATCTAATTCATGAATGATGTGGTTCACAATTCAAACAATGCATTTGTCCAATTTTACTTTTCTTGAAAATAGTTATAAATGTACAGATGTCACTAGTTTACCATATATGTGTGTACTTATTGTATCAATGATGTAGTGATGTTCATATTAACTGTTTTCCAAATGTTCTTATGTGTATCATATCATATCTGTGCTAATGCAAGATTCAGCCTTTCTTATTAGCATTATATCAGATGTTTTTGCCAATGCTGAATGTTTTGTGTAATACATAAAAAGCGACCTAATTATTTGGGTTAAACACTTTATTTTTTGTCGTCATCGTTCCTTCTTCCTTATGTGGTATGCTTTGCTTTTCCACTTTGTAACTTAATGCTTATCACCCAACAGTTTGACATGCAGAACTGCGAACAAACTGCTTTAACATGGTATCATCTTTTTCCTACCATTTTGGTTTTGTGTCGCTTATTTGTTTTCCAAGTAGCCATTTACATTTGTGGCTATCTTTAGCAAATTGCATTCCACTCTTTTCATGGGACTAGGTGAAATGAACTTACGTTGTATACTATCATTTACATTATTCTTTTTTGTTATCTTCTCTTGATTAAGTGCATATTTCTTGCTTCTTACTTCAGGAAACATCAGTTGCTCATGTTCAAGGCAGTCCTGTACCAGTTATAGAACAGCCACAATCTGAAGAGGACAAGTCCAGTTCAGAGTGCTTCGAAAAGATAAATGCAGACCTCAAAGGTATGTGAAACTATGAAAAACTAAAGCAATTTATCTTCATTTCCAGAAATAGAAGCTGCTTTATTACTTATACATTATTGCTGCAGAGCTACAAATACAGCTGAAACTTCATAAATCGGAGTCCACAAGTACAAATCCTGAAGACTTGGAACTTCTTATTTCTACTGATAATGATATCGAAGAAGAGTGTTATTCCCCTCCAATTTCAGGAGAAATACTTGAAGCATTTATAGATGATGATGATAGGGACTTCTCATACCTACTTGATGTACTCATCAGTTCAGGTATTCATTCTACCAGTACAAATGAACTCTTCAATAAATGCACCATACAGGAATCTCCAGCTGGTAGTGACCTGTTTGAAAAGCTTGAGAAGAAATATGGAGTACTGGTTTCATGGCCAAAACCGGAGAGGAAGCTTTTGTTTGATCTTGTAAGTTATATTTTAGCCGATATTATCGCCCCATCCATTGATCTATGCTCAAAGAAATCAAGGTCGCGTGCGAATCTTGTTGAAGATGTGTGGCAACTAGTGGTCGAGCAAAAGGAGCTCAGTGGTACGCTAGAGGAGGAGTTCTTTTTAGATCCTATGTGGTTAAAATTAGAAGAAGATGTGAATATGATAGGAAAAAAGTTGGAGAGTTGGTTACTTGATAAACTCATGGAAGAACTCCTTTCTGAGTTAATCTGAGCAATTTCAGGCATATCAACTTCTTTGATTTGGTAAGTGAATTGGTTTTGATTTACGTAGTTAATTATCAGTTGTAAACCAGTCTTTCATAGTAGTTTGCAGGCAGACAAAATGTATATGTTCTTGTTAGACAATTTTGATCGCAAGATAAGCCACCATCGTCTAAGTTATCGAGGTCAAATCCATTCTAACCAAAAGGCAAGTAAAGGAAATCCTATTGTGTTAGTGATGTTGAGGACCTGGTGCAAACCAGCTTTTGTAGCAAACTGTGTATATAGTGTATAGTTGTATGTAATTTATCGTGGCGCGTAGTATTTTTGGTGGTGGTGTTTTTTCCCCCCTGCTTATAAACAGACTCTCCTTACTGTAATGTTTTTGTTCGGCGAAACATATCCTTTTCTTCTTCCTGATCAAAGATGGTCTTTATCGGTATTTAGCAAGCAATAAAGCTCTCCTTGATGTTTATTCACCCATTTGTTTTTTTCCTTTAGTAATATTTTATGTTGAACCGTTCCATATTTGATTGTCATTTTTGCTATGATGCATGGTGGCAAACTGTATGTCGCTAGGTAAATTTATTAGCACTGATATGGGTTTTTGTCTTTGCAGGGTTTGCTAGTATCAAGTAGTTTCTATTGCGTGTAAATGGAATAATAGAACAATATTTGCTTGACTATATTACTAGTTTGGCATATTAAACTAATTGCCTATTAAATTTGCTTGAGGTTTATAATCCCACGATGGATTAAACGCCATCGTCATTTGTCTGCGGTGACAAAAAGGAATCTTTAGTTTTCTCATTTTAGATCAGATAAAACTTTTTCTTTGATGTTTGTTCAATAGTTGATGCTTGCTTTAGTAGTCTTCTACATTGAATTGATCTATTTCAAAATTAAGCATGAACATTTGATTACCATCTCTGCTATGATTTACGATGACAAATGTTGGTCGGCGGATTTATTGGCTTCTTCTGAAACTGCAGCCTTGATGTGGGTGCATCTTTGCAGGATTGCTAATGGCTGGTAATTTGTGATACATGCATAGGAAAATTATTAGCTCGCTTTCGAATTTTTTGCAAGAATGATACGGTTTAATATACTAACAAATGTTAGGTGTAGAGATGTTGTTTACTTCAAAAATGTAGGGATGTCATGTGTATACAAAAGCCACACAGAACCTATATTTGGTACCAAGCACAAATTTCATATAAACTCCCTAATTTATACTATCAATTTCCCCTAACACCTCATTTTATTTATTAGCAATTAGCCAATCTCAATTTTTTTTTAAAGAGAGGAGCATTGTTTACAATTTATTTTTTCTAAATTAGAATGGACATCTGGCGGTTCATAAAAAAGGATTATTTGCACAAATTTTGCAGATTGCATATAAACTCCCTAATTTATACTATCAATTTTCATGAACTCCCTAATTTATACCAAGCATCTTTGCAAAGATTGCATATAAACTCAAAATTTTGCAATTTATTAGCAATCCCTAATTTATAGTATAAATAAAATGAGGTGTTAGGGAAAATTGATAGTATAAATTAGGGAGTTTATATGCAATCTGCAAAATTTTCATGGGACTAGGTGAAATGAAACTGCAGCCTTGATGTGGCTAATTGCTAATAAATAAAATGAGGTGTTAGCGTATCAATTTTCATGAAAATTGATAGTATAAATTAGAGAGAGAGAGAGAGAGAAATATGGGTATGTTTGGTACCAAGCACAAATTTTGTGCTTGGTAGTGATGTGTCACATCCTCATCCACTCCCTACTCATGTGAATGTGATCCCAAATTTGAATGAGTGGAGGAGGATGTGACACCTCACTACCAAACACAATTTTTTGTGCTTGGTACCAAGCATACCCATATTTCTCATATATATATATATATATTATATGCAACCTCGACAAAAATAATCGATATATTAAGTTTATTAGTTAATTTTCATGAACTTATCTCGAATCAAGTCAATGCCTAAAAGTTTTTAAATTTTGTACTTCAGTATATTCTAAGATATATTTAGTTTAGAGCAGATTGCATATAAACTCCCTAATTTATTAGCAATTAGCCAATCTCAATTTTTTTTTAAAGAGAGGAGCATTGTTTACAATTTATTTTTTTCTAAATTAGAATGGACATCTGGCGGTTCATAAAAAAGGATTATTTGCACTTTTATACCTCCAAAATTTCATCCTTTTTAAACTTTAATACCCTAAATTTCTACCGTGACGGGTTGATACCACAAAGCTTTCAAATTAAATTCAATTTCAATTTGATATCCCAAAATCCAAAAAAAAAAATCCTTAATTTCTCCTAACTCAAAAAAGTAAAATTTGATTAAAAAATTATACTCTCATTAACATTTCAATGTTACAACATGTTTATAAAATTAAAATTAGTTTCTTTTTGCACTTCTATATGTATCAAACTATCAAATAGAATTTTAGGGCACATAAAAAGAGAAAACTATCAATAAAATAGCAAAATATTTACTCATCGTATGACTTTGAGTGTGCCTTCGATTATTATTTAGAGTACAAACTGGTTTGGTCGTTGCGGCACCAAATTGCAAGAGCCCCTTCGAATTTGAGGGATTAATGAACCATTTAGAAGTTTGAGGGGCTAATATGGCATTATTAAGTCGGTTGTGGAATAAGACAGCTGGATGAATATTCAGTGGGGACCCACGTGGCCAAATAGAATAGAGGCGGGTGCAGAAGGGTGAAGAGGAAATTAGGCCACTAATACGATATGATATTTGTTTGATTTTGTTACTAAGTTGGCAGGGCTGGAGGAGGAATTTTTAAAATAACCCCGTTTACAATAGTAATCGTAAAAAAGACTTATTTCTAACTTATTTTCAGAAACCGACCTGGTTTTAGTCTCAGCGCTAAAACCGGGTTAGTTTCTGGAAAAAAGTTAAAAATAGGTTTTTTGGAATTTAAAGTCCAAAGAGAACTATTTTAAAAATTTGTCCTTCCACTGGATCGTTAATACATCAATGACGGCCTCTTTTCAGATTAGTACAAAACCATTGAGTTCGGATGATATTAATATATACTAATCCAGAAAAAAATCCCCTTCCCTTGTTGCATCAACTATCTCATGCCTAGATTAACACAAGGACAGACACCAAAATGCAGTTAACCCATCAATGATATATAACCAAGCCTTTATTACAACCATGCCGGCCTCTTATTCCACAGCAAGAACTAGTAAGGCAGCGTCACCGAAGGAGGAGGGTGGGGATTTGAAGGCCCAGAGGGAGGCACGGGCGTGTTTCTCGGTAGCATATGACCGAACGAAGAGGTTGCGTCGACGTCGCTATCGCCGTCGCGTTCCCTCAAGATCCGCGAATCTTGATCTTTGTTAATTGTTCTCACCGTCACCCGTGCTACCTCTGACGGTTAGACCCGCCGCACCCTCCACCGTCTCTCCGGCGTACGCCGATATCTCCGATGGAGACGACTAAGGCCGATATCTCTGACTGGTTGTGTATCGGGAATTTGTGAGGATCAGATCAGGTGCGAGATAAAATTACGGGGAATTCCGCCTTATATCTGGGATTGGGATGGTTTTTCTGAGATTGTGCAACCCTTTGCTGGTCTTGTTGAAATGGATGCTGATACTAAAGAGCCTAGGAACTTCTCCGTGGCTATTCTGCATGCTAAGTGCGGGGATATTATCGACGTCCCTGATTTGATCTATGTTTAAGTGGGTAAGCATGCGTATCAGATCTCTGTTTCAATTATATCAGAGGGCGGAAAATCTAGTGGTGGGGAAAAGGGTTCTAAATCAAGAAGATGTTAGAGACTAAAATCTCAAAGCTGTGGAACATCTTGGGATAACTGGAAACATAAATCCAAAATTTTAGCTTCACAATGTGGTATGATATTTGAAGTGAAAAAGTGATTTTAATCCCATAATGCAAGTAAGACAGTTAGAGAGGGAAAGAGCTTAAAAATGAGAGTTTTATTTCTTTGTGGGTTGGCATTTGTTTTTAAAATGATTTGTTCATTGAATGTTGGGGGGTTGGGGATGATAAGAAAAAAATATAGTGTAAAAGGTTTCTGCGTGTCAAATAAATTTGATGTCGTTTGTTTTCAAGAGACAAAAATTGAGGATATTTCTGTGTGTGATTTGAGAAAGTTGGGAGGATCCTTTTGTACTGAATGGAGTTGCTGTAAAACCCCGAAATCTTTTCTATAATAAATATATGTGAATTATTAATAGTGAATAATTCTCTTATGATGAATAATCATATATATATATATGTAATTATCTGTGTTTGAGAACCCAACAAGTGTTTATATGTGAGAGGAATCGAGTTAAAAATCCCAGCATGCATATTTGAGCTGCGCGGTCGACCGCATCGGTCGACCGGGTCGGTCGACCACACAGCGATCAGTTTGAGTTTTCAGGTGCGGGTTCTATCGGGTTTCGGGTCGGGTTTGGGAGTTGGTATATCATCTAACTCAACCCATGAGAGCCTCTCTTCATCTCAGACTTAAAACCCTAGCCCCTTCTTCTCCCTAAAACCCTAGATTTTTGTTTTTGGTGATTTTGGAGGATTTGCAAAGGATTTTCAGCGGGATTTTGGGATTTCAACGAAGATGATCTACCTCCTGCAGATCTAGGGCTTTGGTCAACACCTGAGGCGAGTAACTTCTCGCTCAACCCCCACCCCTTTTTGTTTTCATGTCAAGAATTGAGTTTTATTGGTTTTCTTTGAGCCAAATTCGTATTTTTGAATAGCTAATAAATCATTATGGCATAAAGTATGGAATTGGGGTATTATTTATTTTTAAAACTCACCAATGATTTTTGTTAACAGATCTAGATCTGAAAAATATCTAAAAAGGAGTAAAAACCTTGTTTTTATTGTTAACGATGAGTAGATCATGTTTACATATATATATGGGATCTTGGTGACAAAGTTTTAAAGGTTTATATTCGTGATTTTACTGCTTCATGACTTTTCCATAAGTTGGGTTTTCGTTTAAAAATTTGTGTTTCAGGTTTCGAGCTGATAGAAACCCGGATTTGGGTTTCTGTCCGCTTGGTGGTCGACCGGAGCGGTCGACCACTGAGCTCGTATTAGGGCTGCGGTCGACCGCGATGTTCTGCCGGTCGACCGCGACGTTCTGTCGGTCGACCGTGACGTTCTGTTGGTCGACCGCGAAGCCACAGCGGTCGACCGCCAGTCACGTATCAGAGTGCGATCGACCGGTGCGGTCGACCGCCGAACTGTCTGTTGCCAATTTCCTGTTTTGTGTATTTTTTTTGAGTATTCGACCGGTGCGGTCGACCGCCGAACTGTCTGTTGCCAATTTCCTGTTTTGTGTATTTTTTTTGAGTATTTATTCAGGTTCGAGTGATTTCCTAGATCATCTGACATTGGTATTTAGCCTTACTATGTACCCAGGCATGATAGATGACCTGAGGGTACCAATTGTGGGT